TCCCCCTCCCTTCCCCCTCCCTCCCTCCCTCCCTCCCTCCTCCCTCTTTCACGTCCTCGTACAGCATTGATGAAGAGCCACAGTACCCCCTACCCTCTACCCCCAGACCACGGGGGGGGAACATGTTTTGATACCACCCCTTCCATTAATATCCTAATGACCCCTCCATTGGTCAAAACACACTACCCTCACCCCCAGATTAACGCTATTACCCCTACTACCAATTCTTGATCACCCTACCCACTTAAAATTAGATAAGAAGAACTAAAACGTACCCCTACTCAAAATAATTCTCCTCTACCCTCAATTTCCCCATCAAGTACCCCAGCCTCTCCGTTCGGTTGGTTTCTTTGTAGTTCAGGACTGAAATGGAGCAGGAGCAGGAGCAGGAGCAGGAGCAGGAGCAGGAGCGTCGAGAGGAGGAGGAGGAGGAGGAGAAGCAAGAGAAGCGGAATCAGGGTCAAGAGGATAAGGTGATATTCGGCTGTCAAAGGACAGAACGAAGTTGAATGATGATCCACGTAGATTCATAGATAAATAACTCAGGAGATAAGAGAACATGAAAGAAAAAAGAAGAAGATGGAGACGAGACGAGACATGCTTGTTCTGTTTGGAAGGTTTCTGACCGCATGTTGGAACAGCAACTTGGAAGGGAAAAAGTTCGTTGAAGAGAGATAAATAGCACACCTGCAGTTGACACCGAGAGCGACACGCCATGGCGGACAAGGACGAAGAGGAAATGCTGCGCGAGAGCTTGAAGAAGCATCCTCACCTCACTCTAGATGAGCTGAGAGAGTTCAAGGAGCTGTTCAACCTGGTAAGTTGTCACTCGATGTGAACCATATTATGATGCCCGACATGTTAGGTCGACGAGGATAAGGGAGGATCTATCTCCCCCCAGGAGCTGGGCTCCCTCATGGAGACCCTGGGGTTGAAGCCGAACCAGGTGGAGGAGACGGCGAGAGGAGGGGGGAACAGGAAGGGGGAGGGGGCACGAGAGGATGATGAGGATGGCGGCGGGAGGGTTTAGGGGGAGGCGGGGGAAGCAGGGGGCGGGAGGGGAATTTGCCGAATTTGCTGTTTTCCCTTGGAATTTGATGAAACGCTTCTGAACAGGATGAGCTGAACGCAATGATCCGCGAGATTGATGAGGACGGAAATGGAGAGATCGACTTTGACGAGTTTGTTCAGGTTGAATGCTCCCCTTTCCCCTCCTCTCTCCTTGCCTGCTGTCTCCTCCTCCTCTCACCCTACTTGTTTCATAACCTTCTTCCTCGTCCTCCTCTCCGGCTCAGCATGATGATCGGTGATACAGGTGATGTCGAGGAAAGTACAACCAACCTACACCCCTGAAGAGGTGAAGGCCGCCTTCAAGGTGATCGATGCGAGCAGGCGGAGAGAACAAGAGCCGGGGAGGCGATGGGAGGGAGAGGGAAGGGAGGGGAAGGAGGAGAGGGAAGGAAGAGCGAGGAAGAGGGTGTTGAAAGTAGGACAAGGATATGAGTGCGAAGGCAATGTAATGAAGGAAGAAGGGAAGGAGGAGGAGGAAGAGGGAAGGAAGCGGAGGAGGAGGAGGAGCAGTAGGTGATGGTCGAGCAGGTGTTCGAGGCCCCCAACTCCGGTCTGCCTCCTGGTCACGTCAAGACAAGTGCGCTGGAACGAGCTCTGACGACCTACGGGACGGAGAAATTGACGGTAGAGGAAGCGCAGGACCTGCTGTCACAGGTGAACAGAAAGAGGAAGAGGAGGAGGATGGAGGAGGAGGAGGAGGGCAGCAGGATTGGAGATGAAGAGGAAGAGGAAGTTGGAGAGTAGAGGAGGAAGGAGTGATGGAATGACAGGTTGATCCGGAGAACACTGGGTCAGTCAACTACATCGAGTACGTGAACATGATGTGCTCGACCTGAAGGAGGAGGAAGTGGGAGGGGAAGGCGGGAGGGGGGAGACGACAAGGAGACATGAGATTGTCTTCATTTTCTTGTTCGGAAGTGAACGAATCTTGGCCTGCCATACATGTCCCTCCTCCATTCCACTAGCTCGATCTCGTCCCTGCTCAACTGTTACCTCTCCCCTGTTTCTGAATCTAAAAATCGCCATTCTCCTCCCCTCCCCTTCTCCTCTCATCTCTTCCTCCTCCCTCCCTCCTCCCTCCTCCCTCCTCCTCCTCCCACTCACCAAGGCAAGTTCTCGCATCCTCCTCCTCGGCTCATCGTTTCCAGCAGCTCGGGATGCTTCTCGTCCACTGTAGCTGATGTAAGAACGCAGGAGCCAACAGTTCCTCTGAAATAGTCCTCCACCCTCGAGCAACCCTCCTTTCTCCTCCCCTCCCTCCTTTCACCCTTCCCCCCCTCCTCCTCCTTCCCCTCCTCCTTCCCCTCCTCCCCCAATAAGTCTTCCACCCAACTGCCCCCTCCCTTCTTCCTTTCATCGTTTCTCCTCTTCTAGTTCTGTCCTCCTCCTCCTCACCTTCCAACCAGATGCTAGACCCTTGCTTCAAAATGGCTGGAGCTGAAGCAAGAGGAAGAACAAGTCACAGTATGAATCTTGATCCCCTCTCCTCCCTCCTCCCCTTTCCTCCCTCCTCCCCTTCCCGCCGCCTCTCCCCCTCCTATCTCACCTGCTCGTAGGATGCAGAGTATGAGGTCCATCCCATCCTCTCCTCCGTGAAGAGCAGCTCGATCTTCATAATCGCTGACCTGAGGAACACTAAGGACAGAGACAAAAAGAACAGGAGCAGGAGCAGGAGCAGGAGCAGGAGCAGGAGCAGGAGCAGGAGCAGGAGCAGGAGCAGGAGCAGGAGCAGGGGGAGCAAAAAGGAGGAGGGGAGGGAAGGTGGTTCACAGAAGACCTCTGGCTCGAGGATGAGCATGTCATCAGATGGGATGTAGGGCGGGTTGCTGACGAGGAGGTCGAACTTTTCCTGTGCTGGGATGGGAAGAGAATTCTGAACCCACAGGCGAAAGTCGCACAGGATAACCTGCAGGAGGAGGAAAGAGAAGTGAAGGAGGGGGGGGGGGAGGTGAAGGAGGTAGGAGAGGTGGAAACGAAGGAGGAGGGGAAGGAGGAGACGAGGAACGTTCAGGTAAGTGAGAGGAAGAAGAGGTAGCATTGAGAGCAGTTTCTACCTCGAGCGACTCTTGGAGGCCTGCCAGCATAATCACAATGCTGTGTGAAGTGATGAGCATGGATAATTGAAAAGCAGAAGGGAGCAGGGGTGGGGAGAAGAAGAATGATTGCTGTGACAGATTAGATGAAGTAGAAGGATTTCTGCAAGATAGGAGATGAAATACAATGGCTGCTGTAAGACGTGAGGTCGCTGTCCTCTCACCATGAAGTCTTGAGTTCTCACGAGTCAGAGTGACCGCATGATCACAAAGTTCGATCGCAAGGCAAGAGGTTGAGAATTTCTTCCATTGCTTGAGAAGAGCGATGGAGATGGCGCCTGTGCCTGAGAAGACTGTTATCTCCTTCCTCCTCGTCTTCCTTATCATCATCATCACCACCACCTCTTCCACCACCACCTCCTCCTCCACCTCCTCCTCCTCCTCCATCAATCATCATCGTTCTCTACCCCACCATCATCATCACCTGGACCGATCTCCATCATTCTCTTCGGCATTCTATCCGCTGCAGCACCTTCGAACTGCCTCAACACCAACTCAACGAGCTCTTCTGTCTCTGGCCGCGGGATCAGCGTCGGCCTTCTGACCAGCAGCTTCTCAAGGTTGTAAAATGGCCAGTGACCAACAATGTACTGCACAGGCTCGCGGCTCCTCCTCCTCTCCAGGAACCCCCTCAGAGTTTCTCGCTGAGCGGCAGAGAGCAGCGTATCCCTCCTCCTCCTCAGCTCAGCTCGTTTCAATTCCAGCACTTCCTCCAGCAGAATTTCTGTCGTAGACTCGGCCTCGCTCTCCTCCACCCCCACGGCGAGCTGGCATGCGATCCCGTAGGCTCTTGCCTCTGCTATGGTGCGAAAGTCGTCAGACGGGTGATCCATGCTCCCTGCAGAGGACGAGAAGCGTCTGAGGAAGGATCGAGGGAGAGGAGGAAGAGGAAGCAGAGGAGGGCGGGAAGGAAATGCAAGAGTTGGGAGAAAGGGAGGACGGGGAGGCGCTGGCAGCGATCCGAATCGAAAGAGCACGTGAACATGGAGCATCATCTTAGCGCTACGAACTTCTCTGCTCCTCCACCCGCCTGACACATGCGACGCTGACCATGTGCGAGCCGAATGCGCCGCATGTAGAAGGGGGGGGGAGGCGCGGGCGTTTATGTGCATGGATGCTTGCCTCTTGGTATCCGACCAGTCAGTCCAATGCCATCGCTGTCATGCAGGGACGACGTGGAAGGGAGGGAGGAGGGAGAGGAGAGAGGGCAGGGGCAGGGGCAGGGAGCAGGAGGGAGATGGGGAGGGGAAGGGGGGGATGTGGGGTCGAGGGGGAAACAGGAGGGGACGGATTGGGTCAGGGGCGGGCCCGGGAGGAGGAGCAAGCAGGACGCAACTAAGCAGGGGCAGGAGACAGGAGGAGACAGGAGGCGCAAGAGAAGGCAGGAGGAGGCAGGAGGAGGCAGGAGGAGGCAGGAGGCGCAAGAGAAGGCAGGAGGAGCCAAGGGGAGCCAAGCGGAGCCAAGGGGAGCCAAGGGGAGCCAAGGGGAGCCAAGGGGAGCCAAGGGGAGCCAAGGGGAAGGAGGTCAGCTGATGGGAGGTCGCAGTCAGCCAGTCACATCCAGTCAGCCAAACATGAAGGATGGGAATGGCGGTGAAACCATCTCATGAGAATGAGCGCGAGGAACTTTTATGCCGCTGTGGTTTCACGATCACTTTGCTCGGCAAGCACGAGAGACGAGGTCAAGAGCTTGCTTGCAAGGGCAGACGCCCTGCACGAGCAAGGGCACTTGAGCAAGGATCAGTACATAGTCGCATCTCATAGCGGCAGGATGGCGCTGGAGCATGAGGAGCAGAGCATGGCAGACACAAGGCTGGAGATCCTCAGGGATATCGTGAGGAGAGGAGCTCAGCACAAGTCAGAGGTGGTGAGGATGAAGATGAAGGACAAGCAGGCCCTGCAGGAGTACATGGATTTGCCGCAGAGGCACGTGGAGTCGGGCAAGAATCCTTTCAGCTCCTGTACAATCGCATAATCCCGAGGGCGAGAACTGAAGAGATACAAGGAGCCCATTCCTCCTCGTCGTCGTTTTGAACTTTTACTTCTCAACAAAGACAACTTTCTCAACCTTGTATCAAGGCACGCTGCCGAGCGCGGGGTATTCTTCCTCTCGGAACCCTGACCCTGCATGGTCGCCTCTGCCCGACCCTCCGCGGTACGTGCCTCGTCCTCTGCCCATGAACGCTCCTCTTCCTTCTCCTGTCATTCCCCTGCCCTGAAACGACGCTCCCCTTCCTCTGAACGGCATTCCTCGACCTGCGAATCCCGCTCCTCTACCCGCATATCCCGCTCCTCCTCCCACGTATCCCGCTCCTCCTCCCGCATATCCCGCTCTTCCTCCCGCATATCCCGCTCCTCTTCCCGTATATCCCGCTCCTCTTCCTGCAGAGTTCCCTCTGCGCACAAAAGCTCCACTGGGTGCGTATGTTCCGTTTCCACGGTTCAGCGGCATGGTCCCATTACCGTCTGACCTCACAAACCCACCATGGAAAGCTCCTCTGCCCCTGTAGCCTCGGCTGTATCCCCTCGCTCTCGTGCCATTCCTGTCCTGCTCATATCCACCCTCAGTGTGGGTGGAGCCTGTGTAATTGCGGAAGTTTCGAGTCCCCATTCCTCGGCCACGACCAAACCTTCCTCCTCCACCGGGGCCACCGCGTCCCCCTCTCCTTCCGCGATTGTTCTGAAAGCGATCTGAAACCTGGTTTGGGGGACTTTTAGGCACGGCCATGGCTTGTGAACCCGCAATCCACTCCAACTTATCGGATTTTGCCATCAAACGAGCTAATCGCTCATCAATCTTGCTTTCACCATTCGCCAAATCTGTATCGTATTCGCGTCGCTGCTGGCGAACAACATTTCCAGTCGTTTTGGTGCCGTGAATTCCACCAGGAGCCGTCCCTTCATCTTGGGGCTCATTCTGTGTAGAAATTAAATCCAAAGGGCTGCTGTCAGATCAAGCAAAAGGCATGTTACCGATTTTTTCTGAAGACGACGATCGCTTTTCCTCCCGTTGTAATCTTCTTCTTCAAACCAGTCTCCTAGATCCTTCATGTCACGATCTTTTCTAGCTTCCAAGGCAGGAATGCCATCAACCTGACGACTCGTTCAAAAAACAAACAGAACATCATAGCTTCAAACTCACAACTGGCAAGGTATTCGCAGCGTCTTCATCGTATGCCTCGCCTTCCTCAGCTCCACCCTCTTCGTATTCTTCTTCGCCCTCATACTCGCCCTCATACTCACCCTCGCCTTCATACTCACCCTCGCCCTCATACTCGCCCTCGCCCTCGCCCTCATACTCACCCTCGCCCTCGTCCTCGTCCTGCTCTACTTGTTCTGTCCCTGCATCATCTGCTTCGGCTTGGTTTTCCTTCTTCAAAAGATTCACCAATGATATTTTAGCATTTGTCTTTTTCTTGATGAAATCATCATAAGCGATCAAGTTGTCCTTCATGGCTGTCGAAATGTTCTTTGCATTGTTGCGAGAACCTGCGATGACTTGAGGAGAATCTTTGGCAGCAATTTCTTCGTCATTTGCTCCTGGAAACACGATTGTCTGAGCGCGTTTCAAGCGATCATCAAAAACACAAACTCAACCTCCAGCAGCTTCATCTTCCTGTATCACATCTTGCTCATGTTTCTCAACTTCCACTTGAATTTCATGAGCCTCTTGCTTGGCTGAAACACTCTTGCTCCTCTTTTGATGCTGGCTACCGCTCCTCTTGGTGTCAGACCCTTCCTCAGCGTGGCTTCCGACACTCTCTGATCTCGAGGCACGAACTTTAGCTTCGTGAGCGGCATCATGGAACTTGTGAGCTTTTTCTTTCTTGGATAGTGGAGCCTCCTCCTACCGAAGAGTTCAGCCGAGAACGCGGGGGAACCATCACATTACCTCTTGTCCTTGCGGTTTCTGGCCATTTTCCCCTTCATCCAGAAGGGATTCGAAAGTGTTGCTTCCCCCATTCAATCTCAAGACAACACTGCGGGCCGACGGCATTGTTTGTTGGATGCTTTTGCTTGTTTGAAGACCACATTCCTTGCGCGCTGCATTGGCTAGGGTGAATGGCACGCTCTCAGCGACAACTTGATAAACCAAGATGATAGCAAAGAATACAATCAATTTCTGCATGTTCGTTCGGCGAATTAGACTGATGACTGTAGATTTCAATCTCAGAGGCACATAACCATGAAGGCCTTGGAGATCATCTGCAAAAGGATGCGTTACCCTCGAACCGTAGCATTCCAGACAAAACTCAGCACCACCGAATAGAACATGAGGAACAGGCAAGCCTTTACATGGGACAGCAGAATGAGTCTTAATAACTGCCTGTATCACCCTCTTCCTTTACATGGGACAGCAAAATGAGTCTTAATAACTGCCTGTATCACCCTCTTTCCACTTGTGCTTTCACAAGAACTCACATCCTAACACCTGAGATCCGACCCACACCAACACCGTCCCATCTCCAGTGAAACCTAAATACCATCACTCGTCTAAAGCACGTCTGCATTGAGTTTGGCTCTCTTCTCATTGTAGCGCCTCTAGCCCCTTGTCTTCTCCTACGCATTCTCTCCTCTACTCCTTCTCTTCCCTCTTCCTCCGCCTTTCCAAGCACCTCCCCTCTCCGCGCATGTCGGTGGCCGCCAACCCCCACCCCCTCCACCCCTCCAACGCTACCCCCCTTCAGCATTCACCTACCCATGCTCCTACCACCCCATCTGTTTTGATCTACCACTCCCAAGACAACACTGGACTACCCACCCCTTGACCACCCTTGCAGTGGGTGGTTGCACCCCTACGTTGTGCAGCCACATCTCTTGATCACCGGTCATTGTGATAAGTAAGTACCCCACCCTCCACCCTTGATTGTCCTCCTACTGATTGTTAACTGAACTTTGAGTAAACAATTGCCGGGCCCGGGCCGGGTGCGTTCCGGTACTGTACGGTATGCCGCGTCTCACCGTCATTCCGAGGCTTCGCCGGGCGGCGGGCACAGCGACATGGTGCCGGCGGGGCCCCGGGCCACCGGATGCCCGTCCTCAGCGCCGGCGGGGGCGCGGCGCACAACTTTGACTGGCAAGTTAACACGGCCGGCCGGGCTGCCAGCCCGGTGAGCGCCCGGAGGCCGCCAACTCACCGCGGCAGCCTCAGTGTACTAAGTGCCGGAGAGTCCGATCAGTTGGGTTCAACTTACCCTCTGAGGACCCCTAGCGAGTACCGAATATAAAGAAGCTCGTATCAGTATAATCAGAACGTGTAGCTGATGCGCGTGATACTTGTACTCTTCACGTCCCTCATGCGTCATCGTTGATGGCTTTCATCGCTGACAAGATCATGGCATGGGCATGAGCTGCTTGTTGCTAGACTTGAGCCATGGCGGAGTGAGATGGCGACGGGATGCAGCAGAGAGTCATGAGTCGCTCTAAGATCTCCAATGATGCAACGAGGAGACCCATGTAACCTGTAAGCTGCATGGTTTGACTCTGCACTCTTCAGTCCCGCAGCTGATGTTGGGGGGCAGATGAAGACAGATGGCTGCAGTGTTGGATGATGAGATGCACGTTGTGGTCGTCGATGGTCCCGTCCTACAGTTGCTCACGCCCTCTGAAGGAACTGTGTGTCAGGAGGCACCAGACACCATGAGCATGCAAATGTGATGGAGTGGTTTTGAAGATGGTGGAGTGGTTTTGAAGTTGTTACATCTGCTTCAAAAGTATGGGCAAGGAACCGAGTAAATGCTGGTTCAGGTTGCTCCCAAGCATTTGAGACTGAGCCCACACACACACGTACTCACCTTTTCTGAAGAATGAGACAGGTAAGTAGTTCTAGGCAACCTTTGTTGACACAGCAGAAAGCTTCAAGAATTGTTTTCTTCATTACTTCACCTCGTTACAACAAGGAGCTCAGAGGAAATTGCATCGTGACGACTTTGAAAGTTGCACATGGAGATGCAAAGACTTCGAAATCAAGTAAGCACAAGCAGTACCTCCCATCATGACACCGTTGATCAAGTACAACATGAAAGTGATCAAGTAGGTTGTCTTTCAACCTCTACACTCTTCCCCTGCCAGTCTGTTCCACAACATGTCCATCTCATCCTGCAGTATCAGCCTGATCATCTTCCCAGACCCTTTACGACCAGCCGCCGCTTCTTGTCGGATCTTTACCTCGCCTGCCACACGCCTCCCCGGCTCATCCTTGCTGAACGCCGGTGAGCTCACGCGACATCCATACCCGCTACCTTTGCCTGCCTCCCTTCCTCCCCTCCCTTCCATCCGTACTCCTCCAGCGCACCGCAGCCCGTGATTTTGCCTATCCGAAAGTTCTCCAGCCTGTCTCGCGGCACCATGAACACCACCTTCACCTTCCATCCAGCTGCTGGGATGCCAAGCACCGTGAGAGCCTCTGCGAAGAAAGCCAGCTTGAAAGCGTGGACTTTTGCCTCTGTCACCTGCACAAACTCTACTGACTTCCTGCGAGGCTCTACTATGATAGCGTCGTAGCCTCCTTGAAGGGGGTTGACGGGCTTCAAGCAAGTTCTCTTTGCAGGAAGCGTTCGCATGCCTCCCTTTGCATCAAAGGTGATGACTGGACATTTGTTCCATTGCCTGACCTTTTGTGATCCCCGATACGTGAAGTTCAGCCCGTCCTTGATCTTCTTGAAAAAGAAAAGCTCGAAAAGATGGCCCCTTGTAGTCGGATTGCGTGCCCCATACTTTGAGAACAGCCTCTTCAGCGTGTCTAGTTCTTCCGCTTCTGCAAGCTTCGTCGCGACATACTTGCTCACAGGCATCCAGTTCGATTCCCCGTTGTACTCGAAGCACGCAATCAAGCGGTTTACAGCCTGCGGTGATGATTCGCCAATGTTGCCACTGAAGACGATTTCTAGGTTTGGACAGCATTTCAAAGCCGCATCCAGACTCAGCTTCACCAATGATGCGGGCGTCTCGAACATGTACCGACATGAACCGCCAGCCAGGTAGTATTTCAGCTTGATCTTCTCTCGTTTAGACCTTTTCCTCTTCCATGTCTTCAAGCCAATGCTCGCCGCACCTTCATCCTCCTCCAGCATGCATGCTACACCCTGATAGAAAACGTCCCACTCCACTGCTTCCAGGTACTCTCTCTCCGTCCAAGATACAACGGTGTGCTCTTGGAGATTCACTTCAAAGTCTTCAAAGTCATTTCTCTTTCCTCGAGAAGACATCGATGTCGCTACTACAACCCGTCGATTCTCTCGATCAGCTAGCAGCCATTCGTTACATGTGCAAAGGAAGGGGCGGTGATGTGACTCATGCCTCAAGTACCCGTCCAGGACCACCAAACCCTTCTTGTAGTCCTGCCATTCTTCCAGCATTCTGTTGATCCCTTCCCATGAGTAGGGCTGTAATATTTCACACGATCTCCTCTTACCGCCGACGATTTGAATGCACCGAGTATTCTTGTTTGAATGCAGCCTGATGAGCGTTACGCTCCATTCCCTCATGTCAAGAGACAAGCAGAAGGCTAGCGTCGTCGTCGTCTTCCCCGTTCCCGGCGGGCCTTGGATCCAGCCAAAAGCTCGCTGCCCCACCACCTTCTCCCTCAAGAAACGATGCTGATTCTTGAAAGCTTCCCGGCAGTAGAGAAGGAGCTCTCCGTCTCTTTGTAGGTAGGATGCATCGAGACGAAAGTACTTGTTGTCGTTGCAAAAGCCCATCCGATCCAGTCTTGCATCGGACTCCTTCCAAGCAATCGGTGGCAAATGGGATCCGGTGCTCTGTCTCAAAAGGATAAGTTTTTCTTCTCCAAGCTGCTTCTTGTCTGCTCCAAGCTGCTTCTTGTCTGCTTCAAGCTGCTTCTTGTCTGCTCCAAGCTGCTTCTTGTCTGCTTCAAGCTGCTTCTTGTCTGCTCCAAGCTGCTTCTTGTCTGCTCCAAGCTGCTCGAGTCTCCTCTCAAGGGCGGCCTTCATCGTGGGATCCTGTTCAGATTTGATCTCACGCAGTAAAGCCTGGATTTCTTCGTCCACAAGCTTCATCTGTACTTCTACCCCCTTGATATCTGCTTCCACACGCTCGATCTTTGCTTCTACCCCCTTGATATCTGCTTCTACAGGCTTGACCCCTCCTCTTACCTCTGTCTCGGCAGACTGCTTGCTCACATTCATTCCAGAGTAGCACACCCGCTGCCTCTTGCTCGCCCCTTTGTTTCTTTCCTTGACTCCTCTCGAGACATTACCTCGTCCTCCCTCCCTAGCATCCCCTCCTCGTATGCGCAAGCAGCTTCCCCCCCCAGCCATCCTCAGATTGTAGTCTACATATCGCCCAGGACATCGAAATGACGCTCCCTGTTACAAGCACAGCTCAGAAAAACCTTCCCTCCAACCCTCAGGTCGTTCCTCACCACCGCGCTCGAGATGATGATGGAGCTCAAGCCTATCAGGCCAAGAGCCCTGCCCATAGCCCTCGCCCCTCCCCCTCTTGCTTCTCTCTGCGGGCTGCGCATCTTGACCTCAGCAAGCGGGTCCTTGTCAGCCTTGCCGACCTGCTCCCTCATCATCGCACAGGGGACCAGCGAGGGTACCGTAGTACTTCCGAGTTGCGTCGGGGAGCCAGGAGGTAGGGGAGGTCAATATGTTTACTCAAAGTTAAGTTAAAAATCAGTAGGAAGGACAATCGTCATTTTATAGGGTAGGGTGGTCAACCGAGATTAATAAAAAGGGGGTAGGTACTTTTGTCTGAGCGTTGAGAGGGTGGTCTGTCTTGGGGCAAATCTTCCCTGCCTGCCTCATATGGATGCAGGGGGTCCTGGAAAGAGAGAAAGGGGGGTAGTCAACGATAGGGGTGCTGCTGCGAAGTTGATTGGTACCTAGTCGTAGGGGGTGGTTTCATGGTATGGCTAGGGGTTGGGTAGTGTTGGTCGGCGGTACGAGTTGTTCCCATCGTGGTTGAGTGAAAAAAGTACCCCCCAATCAACTGACTGTGTGGGGGTGATCATTGGGGGGACATGGGGTGGGTGATCGAGCAGTCGGGTGGAATGCGCCGGATAAGGTCGATGAATGAAAGATGGAGAGGGAGAAAGTGAGAGAAGGAACAAGAGCAGAGAGAGAGGAGAGGAGAGAAATACAAGATATGGTGTAAGCGATCACCTCAGAGAGCGAAAAGAAGATATGCGACGTTCAAGTCTATGTGAAGAGAAGCGAAGGTGCTCTAGGAATGCAAGGTGGACAAGAAAGATGATGATGATGACCGTATGTGTGTAAGAGGTTTGAAATATGTGTAGGATATCGGAATTGAATTATTTTCAACATATTGCATTTGAAAGATATTGATGATTCTGCATGAATAGCGCTCTTGAGCTGGGAGCGACGGATTTTAGAGTTTGTGGACGACATGCATTGAGAGGCAAACATCATCTTGAAAATTATCTTTGAGAGGTTGATGATAATGACAGTATGTACAGTCAAGTTTTGATCGATCTGACTCTTTTTATGAACAATATAGGGCTCAAAGTCAACTAGAAACTCTGGAATTCTACAGGTAAAGGAGTTTTCTCTAGTTCAGTGTTGCTCCATGAACTTGAGGATTCCCTGACAAAACTTTTGCAGAGCTCCTGCGAAGATGTAATTTGGCTTCTTTGTCTCAAATATCACAAGGATTTCTCATCTCGAGTTATGATCCTCCGTCGGATCCATTTAGAATGAAGAACGATCCGAAGAAACCTATATCGAGGTCGACAGCTTCAGTGCTGCCGACAGCAAAGCAAACATCGTTCCTGCTTCTTGGGATCACGATGGGTCTCTTCATCTCACAGAACTTGTTCTACATAGTCATGAACAAGAAGATTTTGATCAAAAGATCGGACATGAAACAGCTTTCTCCTTCGCCAAAGAGCCAGGACCAGCCTTGCCCTGATTGGTTGCTGTTCTCGGTCATCAGGAGTGCGATCCTGCAAGCGGAGAGAAAGTTGGAAAGGGATCTTGATGTTGTCAGCCTCAAGAAAGACATCTCAGTGAGCATGCTACGATGCCAGCAGCAGGGAAACATGAGCGTCTGCGATGCTGACCTTCGCCTTAACGTAGTTTCGCTTCACAACTTGGAAGGAATGGCTATCATGAATGAGGTGCTGCCGTATCAGAACTACAAACGGTCCACCGTCGCCGATAGGAGTGGCTGCAATATCTCCCTCGACGTGCTGGGAGCCATTCATCAGAGCTCAGTGCAGGTGGACGTGATCTGCAGGCAGGTTAAGTCTCGGATAACCTCCCTCGCCGTGCTCGTCCCCCTGGTGGGGATGCCGGAGGTCAACGAGGAGTGGCTGTTGTCGGTGCTTGCCGAGTGGGTGACAGCAGCAGACACGCTGTTCTTGGATGTCGACGTCGTCTTCATAGCAGGGGGCGATGGAGAGGCGGTGAGGCAAGCTGTAGCTAGGGGATACGGGGAAGAGGAGCTGGAAGGGGATAGGATGCGGGCAAGGGAGCAAGGGTCCCTCCCCCATCACTACCGCTGCATCCACAACAGCCAGGGATCGGTCAATGTCATCGTTCTGACCCCGCCGGATCCGTCCGAGTGCTCGTTCGCCCATGGTGATGACGTCAACCGAACTCTGTGCCAGGTCGCCGTGGGGTTCCGGCAGTACAAGCAGCTCTGCGACAATGTCGAGTGCCTGCACGAGTACGTGCTGCAGCAAGGAGCAGGGTTCACCATCTGCAGGGAGCACATTTCAGAGTTCCTCAAGGCGCTCCTCGCTGTCCGGCGATCCTTCTCGGCCGTCCGGTGCGGGCCAGAGCTCTCCTGCTTCCTCGTCAACGCCAACGACGTCTCCTTCTGGTCCAGCCACCTCCAGCCTCCAGTTCTCCACTACTCTCACGAGTTCGTCTTCCAGCTGGCACAGGGCATGACCAAGACCTCCCAGGCCTACTTCGCCGACTCCTCCCTCCTTGTCTTCCGCCTCTCCCTCGTCCAGGCCAGCAAGCAGATGGCAGGAGCAGACCAGCGGCTATCCAGCTTGACCTGTTCCCAGCTCCTCTCGCGCACACATTTCCCCGGGTCCTCGCAGCTGGACGAACTCTACTCCGAGGACACTGGGTGCGTGATCAGCATTGACTCGTTCTCGCCGTGCCTGGATAAGGAGAAGTCGATCCAGACTCTCACCATGCCGCACTGGTTCAGACGTGCCCCTCCTCCTGCCCGGGCCATCAGCGTCCAGATCATCACCAAGGATCGACCTGAGCTGCTCTACAAGACGCTGATGAAGCTGGTGGAGCAGACGCGACCCGCCTGCATCACCGTCCACATCGACAGCATGAACGAGCTGGACATGACGGACAAGCAGCGCAAGACTCTGCGGACGGTCCAGTGGTTCTCCCGAATGTACGGGATCTTGTGGAGGAGGAACCCAAACGGCTTTCACCCCTCCATCATGCGGCGCCTGGGCTTCCGTAGGAACTACGTCGGGTACCACAAGGACGCGACCAAGCTCTTCCCCACTGACCGGCTGGTGCACATGACTTGGAACGCCCTCGCCTACGCCTTCGACTCACCGTCGACGCCCTCCGAGTGCTCGAGGAACGCGACGGTGGTACTGGAAGACGACCTGCTCCCTGCCGACGACCTGCTCTCCTTTCTCGAGTTCGGCTACTGTGAGATGCTCAAGGACCCCAACCTCATGGTCGTCTCCGCATGGAACGACAACAGCTACAACATCCGCCCGGGCCTCCAGTGTGCCGTACAGCGAGGAGAGTACTTCATGAGCCTCGGTTGGCTGACGACGCGAGCAGTCTACGAGCAGGTCATGTCGCCCTCCCTGTGGCCTGTCTCGGACACCTCCAACAGGGACGAGGACAAGATCCAGACCCTGACCATCATCGGAGGGTGGGAGACACCCTTCCTTAACATCTTCAAGGGGAGCCGGTCGGGCCTGTTCCCAGTCGTCAGCCGCGTCTTCCACCAGCCCTCCTCCTCAGGATGGTCGGTGACCAAGTGGATTCAGAGCCAAGTACTGGACGTGCAGTCTTTCCAGGTCAGCAGCAAGGCATGCGCGTTCGAGGAGGTGCGGGAGGAGACGTATGATCGCAAGCTCGCGCTCAAGTTCCACGATGGGGTCTGGGTGAGCCTCGAGCATACGAGATGCTTCAAGGATCTCCTGATCAAGGAGAGGAGCACGACGTACCTGGTTGCTCTCAGTGACACGCAGAGGGGACGAAGTCCGAACTTTGCCTCCATCCTCTATCCTTTCAGCCTCATCAGCGGCATCGGCAAGGTGAGAGGATACTACAAGGATATGGTCATGGTACACGTGGCCCATCACACGATCTTCCTGGTGGGGCCGCACGCGCCTGTGCTGGAGAGGAACGGGTCAGCTCAGTCTCTCTTCGCCAAGCTCGCCATGAGCAGCGAGCAAGCTCTGAACTTCTTTAACAGCAGCTGCAAGCATGACAAGACGATCATCCTTCCTGCTGTTCTGGCTGCCGCCAATCAAGGCAGAACCACGTCCCCCTTCGTGCTGGTCGTGGCGGGGAGGCCCAGGGAGGATTGCGACACAGTCTGCAAGCATCTTAGTCGCGTCTGCACGACCTGGGGAGCGATCTATGCCAGCATCCCCAACAAGCTCCAAGGGAGAAGCGCTGCTCGCTCCCTCAACCCAAGCAAATCACCCTTGTTCAACAACAAGCCAACGGCCTACGGGGACAGACTTGCTGAAGTGAGGAACGACCTGCCCGTCCTCCACAACCAATCCCTGCTAACAGGACCCATAAGGCTCTTCCGCTGTAGTGCAAATACGGAGCCTTCAAACAAGAGGATCTGCCCCTGCTTCACGCATGAGTTTGTGGCGAGCGAAGGCCACAAGAAGCTTTTCTGAAAACATTCACTGACATCATAAAGAATCCCATCTGACATCTGCTTCGCTTGGCATCCTCAAGACAAGGAACCTCCTCTCCTCTCCTCTCTCAGAATCGCAAAGGGAGCTCAGGAGGTCGTGGACGAGCCGTCCTGTCCGTTCGAGTCGGCCTGGCTCAACAGCTTCACCTGCAGGAGATGAGGCAGAAGCTTTCATGTGCGAATAGGAACCTTCTCCATGAGCCTTCCGTTGGCAAGCAGCGTCTGTTGACACTTCTCCGTCATCTCCGACAACTTCCGGCTAATCTCCTCCTTGTCGCTTTCATGCTGCATGTCAACCTGTCAGCTTTCAGAAACATTTTGGCACCCCAGCCGCTTGCCAGCTTCGCTCGAAGGTCTCGATTCTCCTGCAGGAGCTTGTATCTCTCTTCCTCGACGGTCTTAGAGTGATTTTCAAGAGCGACAATTCTATCTTTTAGTTGCAAGATCTCGGCTTGGAGAGCGCTGACGTCTTGGCTGGATCACCACCAGTAAGAGAAATGCGTTTGCACAAGGGTCGCTACCTGTTCTCTGAGAATTCGGCGTGATTGGCCTGGTCTTGTTGCATTCCTTTCCTAGCACTGGAATTCAGCTGAGTGAGGGTCAATGGATTTTACCCTTTGATATGTTGCTGAGAAGAATTGGTTCCTTCCAGGCTCGTTTCGAAGACTGGTAGAACTGGTGTCACAAAGCATCATTCAAATTTGTTTTCAGGTAGCTACGTGATGCAGAACTGGAATCTAATTCATTCTTGGTTTGTTTGTGCTTGCCTCCCTGGAATAATTTTAATCCCCACTCTCAAGAAAATCTTGCAATGCCTGAATGATTGTTGTGTTTGCCTTGGACAGACTTCGCTTCGCTGGTGCTGTCTGTCTGCATCGAATCTTCTCAGTCGTCTGAGTTGTCATGGGATAAAAATCATCACGGGCGGACTATCTTCGACGATGGACTCGCATCCGACTTTCCCTCCAGAGAATCATCTGTACGAGTTCAGCACTGATGTATAACCGCGAGAGCGTTGGAAAAGCGCTCACCTAATGTAGGAGAGAATGAAGTGAGGCTCTTCTCAGAGTCTCTTGAGAGGTCAGGGGATCCCTGACCCAATCATCTCACTCAACACCAATGTGCTGCGAATCTTACATCTTTCTTTGAAAACGATCTTGACTTGTTGTTCTTGCCGTTTGAATTTGCCGGGTGCATTTGCATCCTGATCTGGATAGATGAATTTTCAATCATCAACACAACTGATTAGTTTGACAGGAGTACCTGATTCTCTCTTTCTTCCTGTAATTTTCTCAAGTTTTCCTGTATTTCATCGAATCAACAAACCACACAAACATGTACTGGTTCCACCATTTGGCGCTTTAAAGCATGCTCCGTCAATCTTGTCACCGCGTCCATTTGATAAAGTTCTTTGTCTCGCAAGATGGCTAGAGACTTCTTGTTCAGTTCCGGGATCCAAGTGCTGCTCAGAGTAAGCAACCTCTCAACAAGTAAAGTGAGGGCTACCTTGACTCCAACTCAGCCTTTGCTTTCTCTTCTGCCTCTCTGACTCAAAGTCAAAGAAGAAACATTTCGGGCATACCAACTTTTCTCGTCTCCGACGGCTTTCCTCTCCAATCTCTATCAATCTATCATACACGTTCCCTGAACGCGGTTTTTGAGATGCTATTTGCCTTGAGACTTCATTGATGGTGGGACTTCCTCCAAACACTTTATGCTCCTCAGATTTCCTGTTCTTCTCCCTGCAAGAAGCAGACGCATTCACCAGACCATGCAAAACAAGTCCATCAGAGAGCTTCTTGCATGCAGTTTAACTTTAGTTCTTACACAGGCGAGACGACGCTTTGCCGAGGCTTGCTGTTTACAATTTCCATTGAACGCCGGCTGATTTCTGGCTTGAAAGTGCATGCCTTCATTTCCTTTTCCTCCTTCCTCTGAACTGCTGCAAGGTGCTTTTGCTCCCTCCTTTCTCTCTCTTCTTTGCTAGCTTTGGTAGCATCATAGCTTTTCGTGGAGACCTTCTTTTGTTCAGGTGTCGATTCTGACATAAAGGTTGAATCATTCTTCTTTTCTTCAATCTCTCCCTTTTGAGTGCCGTTCTCCTTTGTTGACTCGAGAGCAACTCCTTCTGTTGCCTCCATGACCTGTTTCTGCGAAAGAATTTGATGAGTGCTCAAACATTTCAACCATCGAATTTTTTGGATTGTATTAAGACGGGATTCCACTGTCAAACTGGTCCTCCCACCTTTGAAAGCTCTCACTTCAAGAGCTCATGCATTCCTCCTCTAGCCTACACTCCTGCTCCTCAACGTCACCCCACCGTAACTCCCCCCACCTTCCTGCTCCGGCATCCAGTCAGCACCTTACACACTATCTCTCATTCGAGTTGCCGCAGCATGTCAACGTGCAAAGTTGAAGGATGCCGCGCATGTTGGTCGTTCCTCGTTCGCTTCCTGCTTCCTCCCTCCCTCCCTGCCTCCCTACACCATTCGGATCCGACCGACGCCACCATTTCCACCCTACCCTACCGGTAGTGACGCACTGGGCGCTTGAGTTCAAGGAGGGGGTACTCAGCATGTTGGAGTCAGGTCCCAGTTGGGCCTAGCTAACATGACGGGTGGTATAACAGGAGGAAAAGATATGCATGGGTGGGTCATCAAAACGTAGGGGTGGGGTCATTCAAGTCTAGCGGTATCACCCTACCTGAAACAGAAAATAGGAGGGGTACTTTCTGGTATTAGGTCGCCGGGATACTAATATGTCATGACCCCACCAGTCCACGTTTTAACTTTGAACAGAGCTGGAGGGTCGTGCCTTGGGACAGGGAAGTGGGTGTGGGGTGGGTAGTATAACGTAGGGGGAGGGGGGGGGTGCTGTTGATCATTCAATGGTACCGTAGACGGGTGCCGAGCCGGCACTGGGTGGCAGGGAAGGGGGAGGGGTGGCTGTTGCCCGGAGTCGGATGCAGCACCCTCCGATTGAGTTGGTATGCGGGGGTTCTGCAGGGGATAATGAGGGGTAGGGGTCATTCAGTACCAGGGTCAAGAGGCGCAACAGAAGGGGGTACTACAGCCGGCCCGACCCCGGGTCGGAAGAACTTCCGAACTGAAACTTCTGAAACTTAAGAATGAAAGTTTGACCTCGGAAAGTTTGTAGAGAAGTTTGTTTGGTTCGAAATGTCGAGGGGCAGATGCGCGGGTGTTGGACGATGGGCGGGAGAAGGGAGGAGAGGATGGAGGGAGGGAGCAAGCGGAGCGCAGAGGAGCAAAGAATGTTGAAGAATCGAACGAGAAAAGAAGTTTAAGGAGATCAAGAAGGATACAACAAGTCTCTTCCCACCCTACTCCACACATGGAACCTTTACGAGATAGGAGGGAGCTAGCCTCCGCCTCTCGCGATTCTCTTCCAGATTCTCCTCAAGACTTCCCCAGAATCAGCGACATCACCCCCGAGCTTGCAGAGATGAATGTCGACCCTCAAAGTTTGCAACGGGGGCCATCGGAGGAAGGATGGGGAACAAACTGTGCGCAGGGAGCTGGGAGCGAAGGCGAACTTGACATGGTGTTGACTCCAACATCTCTCGTGGTCAGCTGTGAGGTGCATCGTTCTTCTTACTTTGAAGACATCATCAAGAACTTGCAACATGAGAAGCTCAGCTGGATGCGACGGGCCACCGTGCTGGCTTCAGAGCTGGAGAGGTACAGGGGGGAGAATCGACGGCTGGAGAAAGAGAAGAATGAGCTCAAGATGAAGCTGGACAAGACGTTGAGGCACGTAAAGGATTATGAGTTCAAGTACAAGGAGTACCTGAAGCGGAAGAAGAAAGAGATGAAGGATATGAAGAAAGAATTGAAGCAATCACAACAGTTGCAACACGACGCTCAATCTTTGTTGAGAATGCAATTCGATGAGAACCGACACATACTAGAGAAATACCACAACATGCAGGTAAATTTGAGATGCAAGTCAAGATCGAAGATTGATATGCTGATGTCAGCACTCTCTACGAACACAACAAGAAGAGATACAAAAATACCGGACTACTGCTGGCTCAATGAATCCACGCCTAGGACACCAAGAGCCTGCGGTATAGAGATGTTTGAATCTTGAACCTTGCTTCTTTGACCAAATTATTTTCTCTCCGGCGGGTCATTGTAACTCGGGTGTTTTTGAAGGAGGATTGTGAGATGGCCAACCGGAAAGGCTCGTCGATCTCATCGAGTATATACCGGCTGGAAAATGGGATGAAGGAGCTCGAAGAAACGACATCTCTCTTCCAGCCAGTCAGGGTGACCGTACCTACATCACAAGCTTCTCTTCCATGTTCTGAGAGGTAAAACCTTTCAACCATGATGGCTGTGGCGATTGATTTGACTGCCATGGCAGAAAGCTGCAAGGATACAAGGAAGGCTGCAGGATGGGGAAATTGGAGCCTGATTTTCAATCACTGTTGAAGGAGTTTGAGGACTCGTGCAAACTGCAAAAGACAATGCAGGAAGCGATTATTGTGTCTGACGCTGTGGATACTTTGGAAATCACTGAGCGGAAATTATCTGAGCAGTTGAAGCTGGTAAGCGTGGTTGATGAGAAGTTGCGAGCCATCGAAGGGCAGGGGATGCGGTTGGGTCTTGTGATGACGCAATTGCAACAAGAAATAGTTAGGAGCGACCTTGAGAAGCGAATCAAGAGCGATCGCATCGAGATGGAATATAAGAAGCAAATTAATGGCCTCCTGGCACAATACTCTATCATGAAGGCTGAGAACGAGTTTCTCCAGATGAAGTTCGCCAAGGCAAAACTGTTCGACGACCATGTCAAAGCTACAACAAACAAACCAAAACTAACTGATACGCCCAGCAATGCAGACAATCAACCACCCGAACACAAGCAGAAAACAGAGGCCGTGATGGTGATAACGGAAAGAAGAGCACTAGCGGCGGAGCTTGCAGAGGCGAGGAGGGAGGCGGAGCGGGCAGGGGCACTAGCGGCGGAGCTTGAGGAGGCGAGGGGGGAGGCGGAGCGGGCAGGGGCACTAGCGGCGGAGCTTGCAGAGGCGAGGAGGGAGGCGGAGCGGGCAGGGGCACTAGCGGCGGAGCTTGAGGAGGCGAGGGGGGAGGCGGAGCGGGCAGGGGCACTAGCGGCGGAGCTTGAGGAGGCGAGGGGGGAGGCGGAGCGGGCAGGGGCACTAGCGGCGGAGCTTGCAGAGGCGAGGAGGGAGATGGAGTTGGTACATCAGGAGGTCTCCGACAAGACTTTGACTTCTATTGGGTCGGTCAGCATGGTTGATTCAGAGTTTGTTGGCTTCATTGTAGGGCACCTTGTCAAGGAACTTTCAGAGTGTTCCGCGCAGCTCTCATACTCTCTCTTTGCGCTGGAGCAAGGGCTGATGGACTTGACGGGCAAGCAGACGGCCGGTGTGTCGGTGCTAGAGTTTGAGGAACAGGTTGGAGGAGAAGCTCTACAGAAACGTGTGGACGTGCTGCAGCACGAGCTCGAGAGCGAACGGTCGGCTTTCAGGAAGCAGATGCAGGACCTTGCGGTCCTGGTCGAGAGCTCAGCCAAGGAAGTCGACCTCATGTTTGTCAACCTCACGCGCAAAGAACAGGAAGTCGCAGACATGCAGCTAGAGCTGAGCAGGACGCAGAGGGAGCTGACTCGTGCTGAGGACATCATGACGCAAGTCCAGCTCCTGTCCTCCTCCCTCTCGCGTGCTCTGAGTTTGATCAACATTGAGATGTCAAGTTTGATTCCCCTTGCTGATGTCGGCCAGGAGCAGGCAGTCTCCGATCCTCTCCTGCAGAAGCTCAAGTCCAAAGTCAAGCATCTCGAGTGGGAGCTGGCGCGCAGCGAGAAGGAGAGGTTGACGTCCATGGCTGAGGTGGACGCTGTGATGGAGGCGGAGACCCGGGCGAGGGAGGAGGCGAAGCAGCTGCAGCAGAAGATCGGCGAGCTGGAGGAGCAGGTGAAGCAGCTCACGATCGAGGATCACAGTCGAGCACACAAGTCGGAGGATGCGAGTGCGAAGAAGGTCAAGGCAAGTGTGAGGGAGACGACCCTGTCCAGCTGGAAGCGAGCTCCAGTCTCAGCAGCCTCGTCCTCCAAGGTAAAGCTCTGACCCTGTAAAGCGCCTCCCGCAGATGAGATGCCTGCAGGTCTTGCGACCGATCTCCTCAAACAAGATGCCGCAGCCGCATGCTCTGAGCAAACCAACCACAACCACAACCACGAGCACGAGCACGAGCACGAGCAGCGCGAGAGGAATGAAGGCGTGTGTGGGGGCGGTCGGGAAGGAGGACCTCATGAAGGTCTGCCGGGCCCTCGCCTCCCTCGTCTCTAGTCGAGTCTCGTCATCCGAGGGCTCAGGCGGCGATCTGATTGACATGTGAAGTACTCATACCGCCCACTCATCGCTGACAGGCTGCAGGTGTCTACGTACCATAGAGCGCGCCAAGAGCGACATGGAGGAGAAGAGCAGGAGCCTCAAGGAAGCTGAAGTGAAGGTCAAGATGCTGGAGCGAGAATGGGCCTCTCTCAACAGAAACCAGGGCGTCTTCTCCCCGGTTCAGTGAGAGTGGAATACCGAGGAGGGTATCCAGGAATAGACATATCAAACATGTAAGTCCTCACAAAACTCTCACTGCCACTCTGCTGTTGGCTAATGGGAACGAGCTGAAGTCACACGAGAACCACCAATCGACTTGAGATTCCTATCCAGCAAGTGTTGGATCCCTTGGAATTCGATGTTGTCGAGCAGCATCCGAACCTGTAGCGGTGCTCAGAAGCATCAAGATGTCAGAGGCTCAGCTTTTTTTACCTGCTCTTGCAACTTGGAGTTTTCCTCCTTGAGCTCGGATAGTTGTGTCTGCATTTCATTCTGCAAGCAGTTCACGCGATTGTTACTCTCTTCCTTCACTTTGTCCATCTCTATCTTGAGCTCCACACTCTGGAATTCTGAGTTCAGTGCATGTAGCAACCAAACGAGGCTCTATCAATCACCTCTCCCCTCAGAATGCTGCATTCTTGTTCCAGTTGTTCTACCTTCTTCTCCTGGGTAGAATTGCGCTTGTCTGCTTCCACTTGAAATACGTCAGATTCTCGTACAATGACTTTAGCGTCTCCTTACTCAAGTACTCAACGAGCCTGGAGCTGGCCCTCAACAGGAACTCCGTGTATGATCCTTGTATCTCAGACCTCCTTTCAAGAGGTTGAGCGACCTCCAACCTACAGGAGCTCTTTCATGAATGGACAAGGACAAAGGTGCTCACACCTTCCAGTCAAGTACTCGTACTTGACAACTTTGGTCCTCAATTCCTCGCAGGCTTGTTCCAAGTGATCCAAATCGTTCTCGTTGGCCTTCTCCCTCTTGCTTGATTGAGTTGGAAAATGAAGTCGTTGGGTAACCCGCTGACCACTAAGAGGTGAATCAGCTTCTACTCTCAAGGCTCCTCCCTTGATCTTCTTGGTCGAATCGGAAAGACTCCATGCTCGCCTTGTGGCAGTTTTGTTGTTTGTGTCATTGGAGCCAGCGCCAGTGAACTCCTGCCTTTCAGATTCCACCTCCCTCTGTTTCGTCTCCTCCGGAGATGAACTATTCTCCAACACTCCAGAGTCACTAGATTCCTCCATGTTAATCTCAGTGTCCTGCAACTCTACCATCTGCTCCACATCACTTGAACTAGAAACCACACAAGTCTCAACAAGCCCAGTCGCGTGTGTGAAATGAAAACTAGACGGAATCCTGTACATGGAATACTTGGGATCTGTCTTTTCACAAGACACTGCAGTTTGAGAATCCGCCTCCTGCTCGAACGACTTCTCTTGGCTGGAACCAGACCTTTCATGAGGAAGACTGAATTCACTCGCCCGGCTGCTCTCTTCAGCAGATTTCGGCCTGCTGAGAGCGTCAGGTCTGAGATTATATCCCAGTCGCTCGCTCCCCTCCCCTCCCCCCCTTCCCACCTCGATCGTAGCAACGACTTCCTCGGGTCTACGACTGAAGGTGTGTATCTGCCAACCACGTACTCCGAGCCATCCGGTCGTCTTCTCCTCGTCTGCACAAGAGGCTTGAGAACGCTGTAGAGGGAGGATGCTTCTACTTACCAGATTGAGGTTGGTGTAATCTTGCAGAGGTTTGTGCTTCCTCGACTTCAGCTTGTGATCGAGATCATCTTTCGAAAGTTTGTAAACTTTGAGGTTGTTGTTCGAGTTCTGTGTGTCAAGATGCAAGGTCAAACAACAGGGGTACAGGACAGACGTATCATTACATCCCAATCTGGTTTTGACCTCCTGGGCAGCGGCATTTCGTTCACAAATGGTTTCTTTGTCTTTTGTACCATCGGATGTTCTCTGCAGGAGAAGAAAGCGTCAGGTTGCATTGAAATGAGTAGCAACCTCTAAAATCGTTTCTCAAAGGTTTGTTCCGAAGTAATCGCATATCTCGCAGTTCATCCTCCTACTTGCGCTGATTTCATGCCTCGCTCCTCCAAGCTCTTGCATACTCTTCTTCTTCTCTGTCCCTATCCCTGAACTTCTCCCTCGTTCTTCTCCTCCCTCCTCCCTCCTCCTCCTCCTCCTCCTCCCCTCCCACTCTCTCCCATGGCAATGGCAAAAGCGCGGGAACTGCAACGGGTTGATGAGGGGATGTGGGTACATCATCCGACACCTCAAATCTTCCCACTATCTATGTCAAATTTTGAAATTTTGATGGGAAGTTCAAGTCATTTGGGTGCAAAGAGAAGTAATTTTGCAGTCGGATTTGAAAACCTCGAGAGTTTCACATGTGGCCCCCCACCGTACCCCACCCCTGTGCTTGCGTCTACAACAAGCACCCACCCTATCTTCATCCATAATACTACCCTCTTTAAGAGAGTTTGAACCCACTGCCCAACATAACCCCCACCCCCTGTGACGAACTTCAGTCTGTCGGCCATGCCCCGCATTCTGATAGTGTTGGGGCTCTTGGACGTGACCTTGGCGTTCTCCCCCATCTCGCATCTCCTTTCCCTCTCCTCCTCTTCCTCCTTCTCCCCTTCTCCCTCCTTCCCCTCCACTTGTGGCTACTCCCACTCTTCGTTCTGTCCTGCTTCCACCGCCTCCCGTCAGGCATGCTGTGGTCGCTTCGCCGGCTCCTCACGAGGACGAGCCAGCTTTCGCTCCCTGTCGATGCAGGATGCCTCCGAGCCTGTGCCAGGAATAGGACAACGTGCTAAGGGGCAGAAGAAATCAGACGTCGATTGGAAGGGACTCGAGCAGTTGGGCGCGGACTGGGTCCGATATGGTCCGGAGGAAGGAGAGCTCGAGGGTATCGATGATGACCTGGACGAGTCAACTCTTCCTCCTCCTCGCTGGTACATCGTCCAGTGTAATCCTGGCCTAGAGGACAGCGTCAAGGCCACTATCATGGCTAAGGTTGCAAATAGCCGCCGCCTGCAGAAGACGGTAGTCGAGGTTCTCGTTCCATGCACAAAGGTCACCAAGCTGGGGCTGGGCAACAAGCCGGTAGAGAAGCAGGAGAAGCTCTTTGCTGGCTATGTCCTCGTGCGTATGCGCATGGACAAGGACACGTGGTTCATGATCAAGAACTCCAACCACGTCCTCAACTTCGTGGGGCATGACCGCGCGAGGAAGAACGCTGGAGGAGGCATCGCTGCGGGGAGGGGCCATGTGGTTCCAACGCCCCTGACGCGAGATGAGGAGCGGAGGATCTTCGAGCGACTTGGGATGATGGAGACGTCCAAGGTTCCTGTGGCGTTCGAGGTCGGGACGAGGGTGCGAGTGAAGGGAGGAGCATTCAGCGGGAACGAGGGGAAGGTGGTGGAGATCGATCACAACATGGACCTGTACAGGATCCGCTTCGACCTCTTCAAGAGCGAGACTCCCACTGAGTTCAGCGCCGAGCAGCTCGAGCGCATCGATCAGGAAGAAAAGAAGGCCCCGGTGTACGAGGAGGAGGAGCGAATCATTGAAAACGCCAGGAGGGCGTGGGACACGCAGACAAACCCGTTCGAGTGACAAGGGCGGGTGCTGAGCCCAAGCTGAAGCTGAGGCCATGGTATCGCTTCAAGGATTCTGCTGTCTGTAAATAGGTTCTGCTCGTGCTCGCATCGCGGAAGCATCCAAGTTTAAGTTGAAAGATCGCAACATGGATTGAAACATCCGTCCCATCCCTCCCCTCGCTGCCTCTTCCTCACGCTCCTCTAAAGCACGACGCTGTTTCTTCGGAGCTCCTTCATCCTCCTGCTCTTCCCGCTCTTCTTCTTTGTCTTCGAGTTGCATTTGCCCTGGTTCGTTGACGAGATTCGCTTCTTGTCTCGCTTAGAGCCCTCGATCGCTAACTTCCCGTTGTTCGCACTTCTCCCGCTCTCGCTGTCATCGCAGCGCTTAACCTTGCGGCACATTCCTCCAAGGACGACCTGCCTTCTCAGTGAGCCCTCCTGCACCTCAGCCTTCCCCTCCCATCTGCTGGTCTTACGTATCCCTTTCGGCATGCACACATCTCCCCGTCGAACTCGGCTCCTTCTCCGAACTGCTGTACGCAGACGAAGCTGTAAGATTCCTGGTACCTCTTCACCCCGAGACTCCAACGGCTCGAGAGCAAGGAGTCACACCTGCCATGCTGGTCAACAGGCAAGAGGGGAAGGAAGGAGAGGCTCACTCTTCTCCAGAGCAGCGTTTGTCTTTGGAATAGGAACCACCTGACCGTTCTAGCTGCAGGATCTCCAACACCTTCACGAGCAGTCAACGGAGCCATTCTCTGCTACTCACTGGCTTCAAACTCACAGTGTCTAGGTGCCAGCGAAGTCGCTCATAGTGGCCATGCCCCCCCACTACACAGAAGTGCTGAAGAGGGAGGAGCCGACAGCTGACCATGGGGGTGTCAGGCGGAGCTCGAGACCGAGACCACTGGGAGGAGACAATCAGCCGGGAGGCAAGGCCAAGTGCAAAGTCACTCACGTAGAAAGGATCGCTCCACCACGAGCTTCTGGGCTGCACGGCCGAAGGTTTCGTAGTCCGACTTGAATTGGAGGACCAAACAAAGTTCCACAGAAAGCGAAAGGTGACGTGACCAGGCAGAACTTCGGCTATGTAGCAGAAGGTTCTCACGTACGTCGCAAGAATTCTGAGCACACAATTCAGATACTATAAAAACGAATCACAACGATCGACACCGGCAATCCACTCCAACTTTTCTGACACATTCCAACCGTACGATTTCTCTGACTCCATGGCATTCTGAATCCCTCTCATAGTTGTGTAGCCGGACGAGAACGCTCCAAGCAATGAGGATCAGAGGGATCTAATCCGCGTCAGTCCATCTCATGCCGCAAGATCACATTGCATACCATGACTACTATTTCGAGAATATTCCAATATTTGCTAAATCCAAAAATGTTAAGTCGTTTTGTATTTCGAGCCTTATTCCTTCGCCTGGTATTCAATTACCATAATGATGGCACACACAGTCAAAAAGACCTGTACCCTGGCTTGAACAAAGCTGCAAGCCACGAAAGGAAGTTTTGCCTAAATTGATTCAAACCCGAAGGTGCAATTTCTTCTTCTTCATCCGAGCTAACAACTACTTTGGTCTTTTTCTGTGCAAAGCAACGAGTGGTCAGAGAAAATATCTTTTCACATCATCCTCATCATACTTGCTGTTGCGGTTGGTGATGTTGTTTCTTATGGACTGAAGCTTTCTGTTTTTTTACGCTGGGACAAGAACTTTGAACCACTCTCTGTCCCTGGTACAACTTTCAACTGCTCGAAAGTTTCTATTTCAAAATCCGTTGCATACCTTGAGATCCTTTCCATCTTTTACATCCTTGGCATGTGCACGAGATTCTTGGTGCTTGACAATCTTGGGAATAGAAGTGGAAGTAGGATGTTCTGTAAAGGTGTGCGCTTGTTCTTCCGACTGCAGCACTGTGCCCTGCTGTTTAGACCAAGTAGGGGGCAGGCTGTCTGCAGCGTCATCGACGCTTGCTCCCTCCGAAGCTGGTGTAAAACCGGGGTCTTCTTTTTGTTTTCCTGTCATAGTCAGAAACTTGAAACAAAGTAAATGCTCCTTACTTGGTTTTAGTCGTTTCTTCTTAGAAATTCCTTTCACACTCGAAAATTCATTAAATCCTTGCTCGTCATCCGCAGGGTTGGAGATAGTTTCGATCACGCTGCTTGCGTCAGACTTGTCTTGTTGCTTCTCATTCAGACATTGCAAGTTGGAATCTTCAATCCCAGCGACAGGAGGATCCACTTCAGCAGGTTGACTGGTGCCAGCTTCAGTATCTGCAGTTTTGCTGTCAACACTTGGATCCTTGGCAATCTCGATTTGATTCGAATCCGTGCCCTTCTCCTTGAACTCTTTTGAGGCATCATCAACTCGATTGTGGCGGCCTTCCTTTGCAGAGATATGTTTACGATCGTTTTGACGCGGCCCTGGTTTGTGGTCTAACATACGAGGCTCCTTCTCCAACAGTTTGCCATTTAATACAGCCAGAGAGTCTTTGTCAGAGCTGCCCAGACCCCGATTCACGTCCCCGCACACCACATAGCCCTCTGATACAACATCACCATTCGGAAGTTCGCTCATCCCCGAAAGCATTGATTCATTGACTTGAAAGATTCCCCGGTCAAATTTCCCAAAGATGTCTGTGGCTTGCACGTCATTGCGCACTTGAGTTGACACGGGAATCTTGAGACTCTCCGATTTCGACGCAGATGTTCGAGAGTCGTCCTTCACGTTAGGATTGAGAAGCTTTTGAGGTAGTGGAACATGCGGCAATCCATTCAGGTCTTTCAACTTGGCATTCGTCAACGTCGTGCCTGACAAGGCAATAGTTCCAGAGTTGATGTCATTCATCTCATCCAAACTTGGAGACTTGCCCTCTGCAAGATTCATGCTCAGAATTACAGAAGTATACACAAAGATTTAACCAATATCTTCATCCAAAGCTCCGTGAAAAAGGTCACTGCCCAGAATGTGTATCAACGACGACGTCTGCATCGCGATTCAGATCATGAAGACAAGCTTGGAATCGTGAAACCTCTTTATCATCTTGACTGACTCCGAAGGAACCATAAACAAGAGGACCACCTGCGTTGCCCAGACCCCCCAGCCTGAAGAGCAAAGACGATAAGTTCCATCGCTCTTGGTTCAAAATGTGAAAGAGATTGCTTACTGGTGAAGTGAGAGAGATGGCTGTGACGGCAGAAGCTGACCCCAAGAGAGGTCAAGTCCCCTCGAGCTCACTTGAAACGGGTCATTTGACATAGCTCTCTGCGTGAATTCACTCGAATCCAAGTCCGCAGCTCCAGAGTCCGTCCCCTCTTCTTGCAAGAGCCCTGGGACGGTCCCGCTGGCAGCATTCAGCTCAGAATCTCGCCACGGACTTCCAGGATCGTTCCACAGAGGATTCCCTTGGGACCACGGCATTGTGGGCGTAGGGGAGCCTGCCCAACTCTGTTTGTGCGGGGCCTTTTCACATGCTCACTCCCGGCACTCGATCATCGCTGCGGACATTCAGAGATTAGAGCGAGGAATGTAGTCCCAATCCACATCTGTTTACAAAGTAGTCTCTACATCGTGTCTACTTCAAAATTTTCATCCGAGTCTTTGGAAACAAACATCTCAGCCTCCTGCGCTTCGGATCCGCCTATGAAATCCTAAACCTCTGTGCACCCTGCTTCTGGTCTCGACCCCCTCTGTCGCACCATTATTCTCTCCCCCTCCTTTCTCTAGCTCCAGAACCCTTCCCTCCTTGAACAGACATACAAAATTTTACCTCTCATACATCCCTTGTCTGTTCATTCGTCCTCTACTGGCATGTACATTGTGCTATCTCGCTATGAATATTTCTCCTTCCTCATCTCGTCCCAGTCCTTCTCCCCTTCAACCTTGCATACCAATGCGACCACATAAAACTCTCTCTCTCTCTCTCTCTGCATACTTTTTTTCTTTTCTTCATTCTCCTCTTCATTTCTCGGCTTTCCTGCCCCTCGTCCATTTCCCTGCTTCGCTTGCTGCATTCCACCAGCCCTCACCTGCTGTGGGAACTACCCCACCCCTGAATTCTGACCCCCCACCCAACATATCTACTGAGACTACCCCCCTCTCACCCAAAGATAAGGACCCTCCACCCACCCGCTTGTACTTGTAGGTGTCAGCTCCTCCTGTACAACAACTTATAAAAATTGGTTTATAAATGAATATATATATAAATTTTCTTTGTACCAAGAAGAGGTATAAATAAATAATTAATATCATTTTAAGTATTTTTAATTAGGATCAGTCTGTCTGTAGAACAACCCGGTAGTACTGTTGATCATCCTACAGCAATGAGATGAACGGCTAATAATTAAAAAAAACTTTTTTATTTTTGTATTTTTCTGGTAGAATTTAACAAATATAAAACGATTAGTAGTGTACCTATTTCTAGCGACCAGTATGACCTTCGGGATATTAATTTTTTTAAAAAATATTTAAAAGCGCTTATGTGCTATTGCTGCCCTGCCTGATCCCAATATCTAAAGATCTGAGGCAGACTTCAAATGCCACTCGAGCAATAGGTGAGTCGTGCCCGCCCCGCCTGAGGCAGGCCAAACGCATAACTGGCAGTGCAACACCGGGTGTGATACATCGCGACCCAAAGCTGCACAAAGCACTTCGGTGCGTAGTCAAGACATTATCGATTCAATCTTACTGCAGCATGTTACACAAAATAAACACTGATATACACAACAGTTTCGGCCGCATTCGTCAGAGTCCCCGCGGCGATCAGATTTTCATCCTGGCGATGGGCCCCTTGAAGGCAGAGGAGTGGGGTTAGGAGAAGTCACCTGCCCCAGAGTCACGGTAGGAAAAAGGGACAGGAGGCTCGGTTTCCACACCGGAGTCCCTTGGAAGTTCAGCTCTCCACGAGCATGGGCGGGGACAATGCGATGGAGGAGATTGAGCTCTCTGATCAAGCGATAAGGGAACGAGACAGAGCGGGCCGGCCCAGCTCACCTCGCCCATAGGATTTCTTCAGTAGTGAAGTCGAAGAGCGAGGGAAGACTTCGCTTTCCTGGTAAGCTGGACACGAGGCATCAGTCGGAGCGAGAAGAGGTAGGAGGAGAGACCAAGTGTCGGGGGATCGGAGGACGTCGAAGAAGGAGTGAGCAAGACACTGCAAGGGATTCAAACGCTTCTCCGGCTTGTAGACGAGCAGCTGCGGGCTGATCAGACAAGAACAGGATGCGACGAGTCCAAGTGCCTGCGAAAGAAGGTCCGCGGCCTCTAATGGAGTTTTCGTTGAGCGCAAGATCTCCCATCCTTGGACCTTCGTTCCTTGTCACATCCCGCATCCTCAGACACCATCCTCTCACCTTGACGGACTTGTTGTGCAGCTTCTCCATGTTTGCCTCGGTCATGTTCACCTGCATTTATCCTCAGACCTTGCTCGGCTTACTGCTTCTATTTCACCTTCATGCTCTTGAGCATGGAGCCGTCGGGCACTCCAATCACTTGTGCGATCGATTTCAATTGCTGCCAACACGCGTCAAACTGTGGCAAGCTGAGCTCCAGCACCGACCTGCTCCTGGCTCTCAGCTGGGAAGAGAGGTCGACCTATCAGCATCTCTCCGAGCACACATCTGCACCTCCTGTCAACCGTCGAGCACAAAGGGTCACAAGTGCATCACCCGAAGGACCACATGTCGATGGACGTGCTGTACTCCGTCGCCCCCATGATCAGCTCTGGAGACCTTTCGGCAGGTGTCATCGCAGGGAGGAGCTCAAGGATCATCACCTGTAGAATCGCGAACAGATGTATGCGATCGACGTTGTGCCGCTCTGAAGTCGCTTCGAGCTTCCAAAGTCGCACAACTTAGCCTGTTAGACCGAAGCTTTGAGATTCAATAATTGTTGAAATGGCGAGAATACTTTGTGTGTCTCTGGGTCAATCAAAACATTTTGAGGTTTGATGTCTCTGTTCAAGGATGATTCAGATGAAGTTGGCAAAGGAGAAACAAATGACCTGTGACAAATATTTCTTCTATGTAGATAAGCAAGGGCCCTTAAAATTTGCCAGCTATAGACCTGTCAAAGAGGCTCAGTCCAGATAGCTCATGATCGGTTCCCTGCTGTATTCAACCTTGGCTGACAGCAACGACATCGACTCCTGTCTCCTTGCATGATACTGTAAAACTCCTCAGACGCAGGAGCATGCCAGTATGCAAGACTCTTAACCTTGATGAGCCGATGGAGATTTGCCGGAAGGAATTCCATCACAAGATTCAGATAAATCTTCCCCGGACTGTCGCAAAACATAAGTATGAAAGCCTCGATGTAGGTCCAGCAACGAATGAAGAGCAATAGAGCTCACCTAGCAGCCACAGAAGAGAATCCGTAGTGCTTGAGTGGCACAATATTTGGATGATTCAGTAATCTCATGATTGCCAGCTCTGCGATAATGAGTCAAACATTCCACAAGAATAATCCACATTCAATTGTTCGACCTCGATTTCGGAATCTTGGATCTTGCCTCACTCTCTTTACAGCAACTTTCTCGCCAGTCTCTTCCAAGACTGCTTCATAGACAACACCAAATGTTCCATTCCCTGTAAAGACTCCTTCACAATGTTTCACCCACCTAGAATTGTTCACCGATGATTTTTCCTTGGTTGATGATGAAATTCCAGTTTGCGTTCTCATCTTCAATCTTCGAACTTCGCGCGCGAGATGAAGATTGTACAGAGGAAGGCCTTCTACTATTCATGCCATCATCCTTGTCAGCATTCAAATCTGACTGGCTGTTTGTCCTGCACCCAAGGTTCGAATAACTACTGTCTTGTTCAGGTACAGACAGTTCCAGTTTGGAGGGGTTTGATCTCGGACGGGAAGAGCTCAATTTCGCAGGCTGAATGTACAAGAGATGAGGAAACATCACACGCATGCAATGTAGTTGATCACCTCTTGGTTCTCGGGCAGAATCAAGCCAGCATCCACCGACAAGCAGACCTGCAACTAATTTCAGCTGATTCGTTTGCATCCGTTCACTCCATCTCTTGTCCTCCTCACACTGGTACAGAGCGGCATCATTGACTGTAGATCATATGAACTCACCGCATGAAGCACAATCAGCACTGTGCGCAGCGTCTTCCATCCTGTTGACCCCGACCGTTTGCCGGCCCCAAGCCGGCCTCTCGCACAAGTCATACGTTGCTGGAGACCCCGGTGGTTATGATGCTCTTTCCATCCCGTCTTAGAAGCTTCTGCTGATCCTCTGCTCACAATCTCTCTGATTCCCAGAACCTTTTCTGACTACTTGCTGATCTTGCTTCGAGATACACGAGATGCCCCAAACTGACACCGGATTGACCAGTTAGCAAGTGAACAGTAGAGTGTGATCAGAGGTAAGATCGTTCCGAGCGTCCAAGATTGTTGAGAAGATGTTCAGTCCTTGGCTCCTTGGCTTTGTGCTCCTCCTCCTCTGACTCCTCCTCTGACCCTTCCCTCTGCCTTGCTCGCCTTGCCCGGCATGGCAGCCCCGCTTCCGGTTCAGCTCGATTTCAATCGAAGGATATTGGGGTTTATTCGATTTACTCTTCTCCAATTTCAATAGATTTAATTGATTCAAATCGATAATTGATTCGATTTAACTTGAACCATCAAACCCCGGTCAAACTCCATCTAGTACCAGGTGGGGTACTTTCAGGAAATTTCGGGGGGTGGGGTTTTCTAGTACCGGTAGCAATATCCACGATGTACTCATCGGGGGTAGGGGTAGTCGGCGATCAGACGACTGTGACAGGCCGGAAAGGCGACGAAGTATAGTGGAAGGAGGCGGGGGGGAGGGAGAGAGGGAGGGAGGGGGAGAGGGAGGGGGAGAGGGAGGGAGGGAGTGACAGAGGGACAGAGGGACAGAGGGACAGAGGGAGAGGAGAGGAAGGGGAGAGGAAGGGAAGAGGTAGATGAGACAGAAGAAGGGGAGAGGAAGGGGAGCCTAGCACCAGAATGCCACGCCGTGACGACTACTTGAATACACGGCGCTCTTAGGGAGGAGCGATGGAGGGAAGCGGGAAGGAAAGATTCAAGAGTGATGAAGCCCATCATGGGACTGACTTGGTCGCTTGCTGGTGAAGGTGCCGCTGCCATGCCGGTTGATGCCGACGAAGAGAACTTTGTAAGGGCAAGTAGACCAGTAGGTGCAGTGACTGGTGCTCTAGGACGGCATCGAGGAGATGGAGGACCGGCCGGAACCCGTGGAAGTCTCAAGCTGCAGGGCACCGCAGGTTCATTCCGTCCTGTCACTGAGCCCTGGTGAGTCTTGAAGCAGGCAGGGAAGCCCATGCGACGCCGAAGATCCAAGGTAGGCAGCAGCACCAGGAGTGAGTGAGTCTGACTTGTCCAAGCCGAGGTTGACCATCAGAAGTCGAGGGCGAGGAAAGAGAGTCGCCCCGCCTCAGCCGAGGGCCCCCTATGCTCGGCGTACGTGGCCGCAACGTGAGCAGTAGAGGAGGCGGCCTGGTCTAACGTTTCTCGGCACCAGCCATTGACCAAGCACGAGCTGAGCCGACGGAAATACCACCAGAGTCGCTGTCGAGGATGAGGAAGTCGAAGCTTGCCGCTGCTGATCACATGTTCGCAATGTCTCTCCAGCATCAGCTCAAGTCGGCCGACAAGACTACAAGTAGCGGATGCTCGGACTTGACCTGACGCTGACAGTGTGTAGGCTGTGCTGTCAAAGCTGCCTCCCCTGACCTCGCAAAGATCCTTGAGAAAGAGAAAGCGAACATGAATGAGCAAAAGAGCATCAAGAACAAGCTGGCCAAACTAGAATCGCAGATCGATGCAGTGGAAGAAGCAGGACGACCAAGACTTCTGCAGGAGATCGCTGACTTGAGCGAGAGTTTGATCATCCTCCAACAAACCCACCAAGAGCTTCGCAAGGAGAAGAGAACTGCCAAAAGACATCAGAATGCGACTAGAGCAAGAGATCAGCTTCACAGGCATGGTTTGTCTTTGGCACTTCGCACATGATTTCTTAGCAGCTCGGAGGAAGCAACCGCTGAGGTGGAGGAGGAGAGAGAAGGTGAGTGGGCCGAGTCGTTGTGATGTCACATAACTTTGCTCGCAGGATGCTGGCAGATCAACGAGGAAGTGCGTCTGTTGGAGGGCGGACGGTCACCGATGACGGCGACTTGACAGGAGCGCATGAGGGAGAAGAAGAAGCTACAGCGAGAAGCGATTCACGTCCGCACCCTCCAGCTGACAAGCAACAGGCACCCAACTGTCTTGTTGCAAGCAAGATGCCTCCTGGTTGACTTTCACCACCAGAGAGTCTCAATTAGACGATCTAAGAGATGTCAAGATTCATTTCACCCTTTGCCCGCTGGACTTGTATGTATCCCCTCAGCTTACTTTGACGACTCATGACCTCTTGACAGGGGGTGCGATGTCGATTCAGAGCTCAGGAACAAGCTAGTGGACATTGGAATCATTCTGACCCCGCAGATCCAGTCAGCCCCTGAGACGAAGTGATTTTCGTCGGCCCTTTTGACCCGCCTGCGTTCTGACAACCATGTCTGTCAGAGTTTGGCACATAAAAAAACACATCATGCTGAAGCTGGGAAGTCATCTTGACAGGAAGAGAATCGTACGTGAACATTGACTAGCCGTTGACTCGATCCCTCACTCCCTCTCTCAGCTCATCTTCTGCCGCGGTCTCCCCCTGCGAGACGACACGACTCTGCGGGAGATCCGGCGTGACTTGTGGCCTAGAGGTGCATAAACTCTCTCGCTTCTTCTAATCCTCCTCTCCTCCCACTCCCCCTCGCTGCCCCTGCTCTCCTCTCTCCCCTGCTCCCCCACCTCTCCCCTCCTCCTTCACAACTCACTTCCTCCGCAACTCTCTCCTCCCTCCCTGCCAGTCTCCTGCCATCTCTGTTGACCTCAAGTTTGCAGCTTCCAACTTTGACCCTGTGCTGCGATACGCGTACAGGAGGGAAGCAGAGGTTTGACAAGCGCTAGAGTACATTTTATTGGTTACAGGTACAGACATTGTCAACATGAGCCAGCAAACTTGGACGTTCGCTGGGCGACGCCGATGTCGCACGCGCTGACTCGCGCGGCGAACCTGGCGGACCTGACGGTCTCTTGCACGCTGCTCTCAGTCGGCGAGACGTTGACGACCTAACGAGAGTTCAGTGTCAGGAGAGAAGTTAGAAGGAGAAAGGAGAGAGCAGAGGAAAGGGAAGGGGATGAAGTGAGGAACGAGAAGAGGGGAGGAGGGAGAGGGAGGGAATGAGGAGAAGGGAGCGAAGGAGAAGGATGGGAGTGAAGGGGGAGGAGGAAGAGGATGAGAACCATCAGGGTTTTGGCGTTTCCGCCAAGGTAGGGCTGCAGGAGGTGCGTGAGCTTCGAGTTCCGGTAGGGGACGTGTGACTCCCGGCCCGCCAGAGCGCAGATGACATCCCCGAGACTAGCAGGAGGTCAGCTGGGGAGAGAGGCGGAGAAGGAGGAGATGCAAGAGCAGAGACAAAGGGTCGGGTGACGAAGAGAAGCGAGAGGAGGAAGAAGAGAGGAAGGGAAGAGGTGGGAGGAGGAGAGGAGAGGAGGGGAGGGGAGGGGAGGGGAGGGGGGGAGCCGCAGGACCAGCAAAGGCTTCGGTTGATGTTCTGGGTCTCCTTCTGCCTGGACGCGGCAGCTTGTGGTGGGATGGCAGTGCTGTAGCGCTCAGCCCCAGCGAGATCGACGAGGTTGAGGACGCCCTCGCACTCCTGCGAGGAGATGAGGAGCAAGGGAGGAAGGGAGGAGCAAGGAGGACGAGTGGAGGGAGGGAGAGCTTGCCTGCTGTGTGGCGGAATTGGTTCCCTTGACACGCATGGTGAAGATGGCGTGACTGCGAGAGGAACGCTCGTTCCCTTCCGTCGCTGCTGTCGCTCGCGCTCTGTTTGCCCTCCTCAGGAGGTTGTACACGACCTGAGCTGGGATGAGCAAGAAGGAGCGTTGAGGGTGGAGGAGAGGGGGAGAAGGACTGGAGGGAGACAAGAGATAGAGGAAAAAGGGGAATCGAAGACAGAGGAGCATGGAGGAGGACGAGAGCAAGGAGGAGGAGACAGCGTAGAATGTGATGGCATGAGGAGGAGCGACCTTGGCATCGAGAACTTGCATGGTGATGAGGTTGGAGACGAAGGGCTGACCGACCGCATCGTTCTTGATCTCCATCTGAGACAAGTGAGGAAGAGCAAGGGAAACGATGAGAAGAAGTGAAGGGGAAGGGGGAGGAGAGGGGGAGGGGAGAGGAGCAAGTGGTGATTGTAGACGAGGATGAAGATGGGGGAGAAATGAGTGAAGGAGGAGGGAGAGGGAGGGGGGAGGGAAAGGAGCACCTGCTTGTCAAACCCGTAGCGATTATCGAGAAGGTCGCGGAAAGCCTCGTTGTAGATCTCGACGTGGGAGACTTGAATGCTGCTCAGCCGTCAGAGAAGAGGGAGGGGGAGGGAGAGGAGGAGAAGAGAGGAGAGAGGAGAGAGGAGAGAGGAGAGGAGGAGTTCATCTACTTGTATTCCCAGCCCATTTCCTTCCTTGCCGTCGCTTCCTCGAAGATTTTCTCGACGGCTCGGGGGATAATGCCTCGCTCCTCCTCCAGCTCTGCCGCTTCTCCTGCTGCAGCGACCGGACCCTCCATGGTGTAGGTCTTGCCCGAGCCAGTCTGACCATAGGCAAAGATGCAGACCTGGAGCAAAGAGAGAAAGAGTGAGAGGGAGGGAGGGAGGGAGGGAGGTCTACCTTGTAACCTTCCAGCACAGCCTCGATGAGGTTCGAAACTTCTTCAAAGACTTCCGACTGACGAGCATGTGAATGCGAACAAGGACAAGGGAAAGGAAATGAGGGAGGAAGTCACGACAGGGCGGGG